TGTTGGTTGTTGGCACAGGAATGTGCTACATGTAATCCAGCAGGTTTCGTCTCAAACCCGTTGGTATCACTATGTGATCGCTCCTAGACAGCACGTCCCGTTCGACGAAGAACTGGTATTTGTCTCATGTTTCGGCCTGTCGTTTGTAAGAAATACGACTGGGTATTCCAGAACATGGTCGCGCTTCGCTGCTTCCTTGATCTTTGAGATAGCAGCTTCGGTTATTCGAGTGAAATCAACAAAGGAGCACATCACCCGCAATGTATGCTGCAGACAGTGCGTCAGCAAAAAAGTCCGTTTCCGATTAGTAGGATAACTCAGTCATAATTCTGAAATCGGGTCAACATTCTCCGCAAACATTCTTGCATTTTATCCAATAGCTTGGTGATTACGTTGACTGACGGCTTAGAGTCAGTAAACACAGTGAGTCTGCTACCAGACGAATAAGTAGAGACCATTCTACAGCGAATATCTCCTTTACAACTTGTGCACAGCCTTAGTCAGACTACGATCCCAATAAGCTCTCGGTTCCCCTTGCTGCATAAGCACTGCGCCCAGGCCTGTTTGACTCCTGTTGCACTGAATGACGTATTATGCAAGTACAAGTGGCATCCGTTACTATAGCCTTAAACTTGTCGTTCACTCCAACACCATTGAATCCCTTTACGTGTCATTTTGCGAACCGGATTCATGAGATCCGTTAGACGTGGTAGAAAATGACTCAAATTTAATCTCGCCACGGCATAGGATCTTTTGGAGCTGGTACGGACTTACTGCCTTGATTTTCTCAGAGTCTACTTGGAAGCCGTCAACTATGAAGAAACATCCACAAAAGGCAACAGAGGTGGCATGGTGCTCTACATTCCCCCACGTTAAGCGCATCCGCCGCTCAAATTAATGATCAAATATTTACCTCAGATTTCTGTGCTGTTCTTCCGATCTGTTACCGTATATTAGAACATCATCAGCCATATAAATTGAACCTGATGGCCTTCAAGGGCTTGCATGAATTGGTAGTTGACCGGGTGGCTGTTGGTCTGCTTGCCAAGCTTGGCGATAGACTTGCCGCATGAGCTGTAAGCCCCAACTTACGTGATTTATTGTACCTTTTTATACACGCCGTGCATCACCTGCCCACCCAACCACACAAACAAGTCTCCCCAGGCATCAGACCCATTTCGATCCTTCTCCAGTGCTTTGTAACCAGGACCACCTTCCAGCATGAACGAAACCCTCCTCGTGCTTCCTTCAGAAGGAATAAGAGCTCAGTACAGAAAGGGTGCTACAGATGAAGCATTTAAAAATTTCTTACTCAGCTCCGATTTTCGGCCAGGTTACAGGTTTCTCTGTGTACTGTGGCTCATCTGGAAGATTTTGAAAAAGTAAACGTTCAGTACCACCCAGTATGGTTTTCCTGAATGAATACGTAGATATCTCCGTTCCAGCGAGATGTGGAAACTGAGTATACACCCAAAAAAGCTTCAGATTTACCACAATAAGTGGTTTCAGAAAGTGGACGTCGTATACTACTCTTTCAGAATATTGTGATTCTCCTTCGCAGCCTATAGCAAAATAAGGAGATCGCTACACCGCTGATTGCACTTCAGCTATCATCCAAATTACGAATGAACTAGAATACGAAATGGGTGGTTTCGGTGGAACAAAAAACTGTTCGGATGACATCACCGGTATCGTTTTGACGGGAAATTGAGCAAAAAGAGCTGTTGTATAGTTCGATTGGGAAGTCTGAAGTGACTCGAAATGAACACAGACTTCGAAGACTTAAGTTAGTCAAGAGAACCAAACGGAGGAGGAATTTAAAGCAACACGTGTCTATGTATTTGAAAGTATGGGCTACGCTAGTTCATTGAATTGGGAATATTGTGCGCATGGAGTCAAAATAAACTAAAAAGAGGACACCATGAGAAGAAAAAGGATGAATGGTGAAAATAACTATAAAATGTGTTCGGCGCCTCTGGGGCTATTATCATCCCAACTAACAACAGTGGCGAACCTGGTGATTACGTATAACGCAGCAAAACCTACATCCACCTTCTTTTCACAACATAGCCAGAGTAGGTCAAATGAAGCCTGATGAAATCCCCTTCTCACTATGCGACTTCAGTTGAGTAGGTTTTCAGTAATACAGCTGAGAACGAATCCATAGAAATAATAGATTCTTAAACACCCACAGGATTCTGTAACGAACTGCGAAACCAAAATGTTGCTCAGAACCACTCAGAGCCATTGCGCTAAAACCTCAAAACCCTACTGGATTTCGAAGAAATTCACATTGGTCCTTCTTGGTGTTGTGGCAAACCACTGTGACGCTTTGGAAAGTAAACTACACAGCTCGATTACTCATCTGTTGAGCCTATTCCAATAATCCACTAGAGGTAAATGAGCTGTCTATTGCGGAACAATCATAATACCCTTTTCGCTATAACTTTAGAAGGATGTCCCGACAAACATTCGCCAGTGTCTTGTCAAGACTTCCATTTGCTTAGAAGTGACTGGAGATAGTTAAGAATGCTGAATCCGCAGGAACTTCTATTACACAAATTCTGATGTCCATGTCATTCTAGACATCAACAACTATTAAAATCAACGACCTATTGCCGTAAAAAAATCTACTGCGACAAACGCATTATGGGAGAAGACAGTGGACAGGTAAAGAAATTCATGCTAGCCTGCGTATCACCACTGTGGAGATGAATTGTGATCAAGAATAACACTAACATCTGTATGCCGCCATTTCTTGAGCGTCAAACTCAAATAGCCTTATCTACAGAATAATTCGAGACCTTATACCTCACTATAGCCAGAGAGGTCAATTTCCTCAACTACCTCCCTGAGGTACGGAACAAAGATACCCCCTCAACGCCTTTCCTTTGATCATGGAAGACCAATTAAAACATAGAAGAACGGTGGTGCACGGAAAAGTGACCCGGAGTTTGTTAAGACGAAGCCATACATATAAGATACGAAATCCACGTACAGCGTCGTCAAATACTTTGGTGTCAGATATGAACAGTGACTAGGTTGCATGGTGATGCAATAAGTCACAACTTCAGTTCCAATGCGGATAAGACGTGAGACTATAGGTAGCGGGCAATGGTTTATTCCACGAAAACGTGCTTACATGGTATAGTCAAACAGGAACTAAGAATAGGTGCACCAAGTTATACCCACCGTTTTAAGGTACCGAGAGGAAGAGAAATAAAGGCTAAATTCATCAGAAAGTCTTACAAACACACTTGTATACCACAGAAGATAACGGCAGGGTTTGGAAGCGAAAGAGCCCGTGTGTATGTAGAATTAACCACTTAGAAGCCTAAGACCTTTCGTTAACTTCATCCACACACATAACAAAAACATTGTCAGCTGTAATAACCGCGTACTCGTCGTACAGTAGTTGTAGCTGCCGCAGTTTCGTTCATCCACACGATAAACTGAAATTCAAAGAATCGATATCCCACGGATAAAGAACGCGCTAAAAAAAGCCATAAGAAAATCTGCGATGCTGATGAGTTTATATATTCAGATAAGAACACATCATCTCCACCAAATGTACACGTACACAAGTCGACACAAAATCGTCACAATGAAGTTCAAAATTACCCTACCAAATGAGGTTTAGTTAGGTTTCTTCTTCTCCTGTTTCAGAATTAATGTGATGAGTCTGATGATGCACAGTGCTTCCAGTCAGTGAGTCTGACTGTGTTGGTACGGTTGGTTCACTCGATTCCGAATAATCTCCAAGATTGTCCGATTCCAAGTCTTCATGAGCGGGAGGAGAGGGAAAAACAGAACGTGTTTGTTCACCTGAATCTCGGTCGCGATTTGCCACCACGGAGTTGCAGACGATTATTGGCGGAGAGCCGTTCAAAGAAAGTGGCGTTGGCCCGGAGAAATGATGCTATTGAGTAAAAGGAGAAAGAGGACAGTACGGACCAGGATCGGAATGTAACCCTAGAACTGGAAGAAATGAAATGAAATAGTCAGTCACTTTTTCATCTATAAACTGTGTACCGAAGTACAATGGTTCCAGCTGCAGCAGTTTCGCTCACCGAGGATGTGGAGAACAAGGGGATGAGACACAAGTTCGAGGCAATCGCCCAATCAGTTCATTCACATTAAGTGGTTGTTTGTCCGGTAGTGCAGGGAGTGAGAGAGTTACGCGGTGAGGAAGATAGCTTTGACGCAGGACTGTCATTGGCGGTCAGTTATGTCAGGGTCAATAACCACTTGCTTGTCTCTCCCCGAAGTCCCAATCCGGGGAGACAGCAGGTACTAACATGACTGGTGAGAGTGGTCACACTTCCAATTTGCTGAATGACCATCCCTGGCTGGTCTCCATCCGATACATGGCTGAGCGAACTGGACTCTGTTTAACAAATCGTAATAAAAAATCGTTCAGCTGTAGCGCCCTCTCGGTGCCAAGCTGCCATGCCACCCGAAGGAAGCACGAGGGCTGGGATATTGTCAGGTTGCCCAAGCCTAGACAGGGGAAGTCGAGAGACAGTGGTCGGGTTCGAACCACGGACCTTGCGGTCAGTAAATTCGCGCTCTAACCACTTGAGCCATCTCGCCCCTGTTTAACAAATAGCCTTTGGCATACGAGGCACACGGTCTAACTAGCGTAAACTGCGGAGTGGGACAAGCTCACCTACGGAAGGAGAAATATCATTCCATCTGACGTACCTTACCATCACTGATCTGACGTTTCCACCGAACCCGCCCAATGCGTCGGAGATACCAACGATCAAATACAGGCTTCGAAGATATTCTTCAGGCAGCGGCCACGTTTCACAGTCCTAAGATAGGACACATCGAATCGTAGCATTGTACACTACTGCTGGGGAAAGATGGCTCAGTGGTTAGAGCACAAATTTACTGACCGGAAGGTCAGTGGTTCGAACCCGACCTCTGCACCTCGACGTCTGTCTAGGCTTGAGCAACCTGGCGCTATCCCAGCCCTCGTGCTTCCTTCGGGTGGCATAGCGGCTAGACACCGAAAGGGTGTTACAGCGGAACGATTACCTACCACTGACAGCGAAGCTGATATCACGTCGGCTCCACAAATGCCTGAGGCTGGCAAACGCTGAACCGGCTTTCTATATTAAAAGGCGGTTTCGTTTTCATCAAGCCAATGAAAATTATACAGCTGCTCAGATAGACGAACGTATCTATAATAATAATCTGCTGCATCGATAAATCCATCTATAAATGTGGTGTTTGGGTGTGACCCCATTGAAGTCTTGCAGCAATACTGTACGTCCCACTTGCAAAACGCATGTCGAACCGTCTAGCAGAAATAAATTGAGATTTTAAAGGGATGGATACAAGAATAGCGATATCCTCAGCGTCCTCAACATCTGTGAGCGAACACTAGCAGTATTTCGAACCTCAAGGAGTTAGAGGAAGGTAGACAAGACTCAAGCAGTGTATTGATTACGGTTAAGTAAAAAGGGCGACACCAGTGAATATGGTGAATCCAAGTGAATTTGCCCATGGAAGGAGGCGTATAGAGCCCCTATAAAAAATAATAATCCACAGATACCCATAGTTTCTGACTATCAATGGAGTCAAAAACAGGTCTGATATCTGGAACGGTCATTGTCGGTCATCGGAAGGAGCAGCGACGTCTCGGCAGCTGTCGCAAACTGAATATATGATCCACGCCGCCCGGACAACCTGGACTGATTCCCACTTGCCGAATTCTCTCGATGATGGACCAACCTATGTAGGATAATACGAGGGAGCACTTCAGCAGTTACGGTCACTAGGCTGCTGTCCCGGTGACTTTCGCACAATCTTGTGGCAACCCTTTGAAACAGAAATTACCGTCGAGGTGCCCTATTCTGTCGGTATTGTCTTTGTTGGTTGTGAATGTCATGGTTGTACGAGGACTGGGATATTGCCAGGGCGCCCAGACGTAGATAAGAGGACGATTAGGGTCCTCAATCAGTCTTTGGCTCAAAAGTCTAACCGCAAGGCAGCGGTGTTTGGCGGGAAATGCAGATGCATTACCATTTCCACGGAACGAGTCGCCACATGTTCCAACCCCCAAACTGTAGGGCCAGGAGACTGCGTTCGTCGGACCTCTGACCATTGACCAAGCTGGTATGAGAGACTCTGTGAGTCATCATCATCATCACTGTCAGCTGTAAGAACCGCGTACTGGTCGTACACTGGTTGTAGCTGCCACAGTTTCGTTCACCGATGATTGGAGGGTAAGTAGCTGCGCATTGCACGCGCAAGCTGGTAAATTGGTGCATAAATCCAGCACTGTCAGTGAGTTGTCAAGCGGGGGGGGGTGGAAAAGAAGCTATGCATTGAAGGCAATAGCTTGGATGCACGAGCGCCA